GATATAGCGTTGCAGTTGTCATGGATTTTATAATATACCTGACATGCAACTGTTCTGATGAGTACTTTTAAACGGATTTTAAGTTGATTGGAATATATATAGTAGAAGAAGTTTTAATTTATTAAAGTTATGAAAAAATGCAATTTAGCAGTTATTTTTTTCAAAGACAATTAGATTAGAGCCCAGTAAAGTCATCTGTAAACAAGTGAAAACATTGTCGATAGATAGAAAAGCAGCCATAGACGGATGCAGCTACTCAGATTCATCCAGAAGTTTGTTCAGTGGTTCCGCATCTTTTTTCTCCGAAGTATTAAGAGAAGAGACTTGGTAACTGTTTCTTCTTTGCTTTGTTATTAGAAATGTTAACCATTTCTGGAACACATCGCAACGAAAAATTAAAAATGCGTACTTTTATTATAATATCAAATACCTTAGGACTATATGACGGCTTAAAAAATTATGACGTCTATTTCAAAACAAGAACTACTCTCCAAAAATGATTTTGCTAAAGGGATTTTAGGAGAATAATCTATTGGAACGTAACCAAACTTTAACTAGAGATATCTGCTTACTACAATTGAACAAACTGCAGCAGGATTGACATCTAAGCTGCTAAGCACTCTTCAATAGCTAAGACTTTATCTTTCATCATGATAATGCCACATCTCATGCTGCTTTAACCACTTCACAAAAATTACTGCATTTTTATTAGAAAGTATTAATCCATCCAGAGAGTTCTCTTTCATCTTGCCGTTATAACATATCTTCGTTTCATAAATCTTCGTCTAAAAAGGCTGCCAAATTAGTATTACAAACATTTTTACTTCCTTGTACGAAGTAAAAAGGAAGTACTGTAACCGTGAAAAGTTTCAGGCACCATACTTCAACGAAAATATCCATTTTCACCGCTATCGAATGCTATTTAACGATGTTTTTGCGTGACATCTGTACGTAAGGATAGAATAAAGAACTCTTTTTCCCCAAAAAATTATAAAATTGATTTAAAATGAATTCTGAAGATAATTGCTCGTGGCGTTTGTGCGTACGTACGTAAGTACGTATCTCGCATAACTCAAAAACAAGTAGCCTCAGAACGTTGAAATTTTGTATATAGAACTGTTATAACAATTGGCCGCACCAAAAGTATATATATATATATATATCCACTATGTTCCTCGGTTCAGTGAGCTCACTTTCTTTATTCTTATATGTTTGTAAATTGGGTATTTTTTGCTTTAAAAATGATTGAATTATGTTGTTCTTATCTTCCGGTTAAGGTTTTTATGCCTTTAGTTATTCTGCGAGCAATAGTTTTTGCCATGGTGGCCATGTTTGCTTTCATTTAAAACTCGTCAGAATAAGGGATTTTGTTGCCAATCTAGAGAAACTAAACTTCGCAACAATAAACGTAACGCCTTCTTTTATTATTGCGAATTAAATCATGCTTAATCCATTCTGGAATTTATTTGAAGAAATAAGTATTTAAGATTTACTTCGTAATTTTTAATATAGACATTCTGAATTTTTATGTATGTTAGCCTTGTCGCGAAGTGAGGACTGAATTAATTGAATCAGAAATACTGAATCGCCTGTAAAAAACTGTTTCTTTCTTCTTTTTTGTTTGTTTGTTTAATTTCTTTTATACATCGTTTTAGATTTATTATAATATTTGAATAGAACATGTGGCAACGATTGGATAATTCTTCAGGTGATATAAATTTTGTGCATTCTGAGTTAGAAAATGAATGAAATGTAACGCTGTTAAAGGAACGTGGCCCCAGAGTGTCACTATGGTAAACAAATATAGTGAATTTTAATGAGTGCATTTATTCTATTGGGGTTTATGCGCTCTTCGAGGAAGTAGATTTAATTCAATGCAATAAGTTTAAATGAAATGCAAGAAAAATGCGTATAACTTAATATTCCGTACAAGGAAGCCATGTGGTGTATACATCAGATTTTTTATACTAAAACAGAGGAATAATAAGTGTTTTATAATGTTATAGAAAATGTGGGTTTAGCTACCTCCGGCTACATGGCAAGAGGTCTTGTATAATGTTGGCAATTACATGAAATCATAATTGCTTTAATTTTTCCCAGGAGTTTTTTTTTTCGACTAAAAAACAGGTAAAATTTTTGCAGTTATCCAGTATATCCATTTAAATGAAAATGAAAACAAAGGCCTTTTACTAAGTCGCCCAAAGTCATATTAATCATTCTTACAATTTATAGATGATGAAGATGACCAATCAAGCATTTACTGCCCTGAGCCAGTTTACTATGATGTTGTAGTCAACTCTACTGGCCACATATACAGTCCTTTATACGATAAAGGAGAATACCCTTCAGAAGTTACTTGCTACTACAAATTTCGCCTCCCGGAAAATTATGTAAGTGTTAAAAAAACCTTTATTTTCTTTATTTGCATAAACAACTTCTAAAGCTATTTTCACTTATTTAACTACTTAGTCCCTTTTGAGACCGTCAGACAACTTATCCCTCATCTAGTAAAACAGCTATGGACATAATAAAGAAGATTTAAGCAAATATTTTTATTTGAAACTTTTAACTTAATATACTTGTGTTTTCAGATGTTATCTTCGCAACTTGCGGGATTAACATAAAATATGAATTAAAATTTAAAGTAAATTAACGTTGGAGCTTTACAAATGTACCGGCTAATACGATCTGGCTCAGCTCTAAACTATAAAAACGCGAGTAACTCGGCTAGAGAATCTCTAACGCCGGATAGTATAATTTTCAGAACTGGAAAAGGAATAGGATGATCTGTGTCATTGCAAAAGCTCTCTCTTGAAGTTTTAAGAATTCTATTCTTATATACATTCTTATATTAATTTACATTCTGGTGAAAGCTAAAGAAAAGTAAAACTGATAGTATAGTTTAAATAATAACATAATTAATTAATTAACCTATATTTTACAAACTGGATGTGAAATAATCACACAGAGTAGTTCATTATTGCTCAAGGCATATCGAAGCCCTTCGTATTTAGAATGTAGAGATTTTTCTGATGAAAAGTACTCTCGAGCCCATCACATATTGCAAAATTTTTATATCTTCTGTGCAAAAGAAAAATATTATCTAGAAAAGAACATAGGATGAAATTTTCGAAATGCATTGATTTTAAATACATATTGTTGACAAATTTGAAAAACACCATTCAACAAAATTCAGTACTGATTGTTGCGTATTTTACGAAGGACTTGAAATGTTTCGAGAGAATCTGACACAGGTTTCACTGCTTCAGGTGCAAAATGCTTCTTGAGGAAGGATAACTTCACGTCCTAGTTTTGTTTACATCATCTAAAATCAAAAACTACTTTTCAGTGGTTTTCTGTTACATTACCTATCGACAATTACACGAATTAAATGCATAAAAAAAGGATTCAGAAATTTATTCCGTGATACTGTCTGTCAAACACATTTAATTTAATTTAATTTAACACTGAGCGCCTCCTGAGATAACCACTGACCTGACTTTGTTGTAAAAGTTGTAGTGTCCAGGTGGGTTAACTTCTATCTGTATACTGGAGTAGCAAGACTACACAGAAGAAGGGTTCAAACCCTTTATTAACTCTTAAAAATTTACACTGCGTCAACTCGACGCTAACAAACTTCGCCTCTAATTGTGTGGTAACTGAAAAGCAGGATTTTCAATGTCATTTTAAACTGCTTTACAATATTATTTTTATCAAGTACATACAAACTGGATAGTAATATGCTTACATTACAATAGTTTTTCTCTTACAATCCTGTTACTATTCCACGGGGGTGAGCTATTTTTCTAGTGCTGATTTTCAGTTGTTGTAGTATTTTGATTTGCTATTAAAATTATGTTGCGAAGATACAATTCTCAAGGGAGGGAAAGAATTTCTTAATACCTTGCTGAGCATAGCCTGATCAGCTCCTCTATTTTAGTTTTTGTCTGCTTGTTGCCACAGGTATTCTTCGTCCCATTGTGCGGTCCAGTACTTCACTACTTGGCATTTTTAAACACAGTTTATCGGTTTTGTGGTCAGTTGAAGAGGTAGTGATCTGCATCACCTACCGCCTCACATTCACATAATTCTGATGCTCGTTTGCCGAATCTCTTAAGATAATGTGGGAAGGGACCATGGCCAGTGTAGAATTGAGTTTGTGCTTCGCTGTATGTATTAACTGAGCATGTACCTTTCGGAAAGAACTTGTAGGTTCTCCTCCCTGGTGCTGCTCCCATCTTTTCTAATACCTACATGAAATTTCATGTGGGCCAGTAATATCCACATGAAATTAAACACTGAAAATTGCAATGGAAAATTTTCTGCTGACGAAAAAGGGAACATCTTCAAGCCAATATTGAAACTCATTAAAATAATTAGTTAAAAACATATCATACATTACATATAAAAGTATTTTGTTCTTGAAAACATCATGCATTGCACGCATTAATTATGATAGTTATTCGTTACTATTATTTAAATTTGAATTCATTTGAAATATGAATTAACGAGAAAAACAATGTGAAACAAATTATTGGAAATTTTTTATAGTGTTACTGATAGTACCAAATTGCTGAAAAATAATCAAGTTTTGATATTAAAGATTAAAACTTTCTGGTTTAAATAAAAAAAAAAAAAAAGTAAAACTAAATTATACTGATTTCTAAGTGGAGTAGGACTGTAGTTGCAATTATTATACACATTTATAAACTAAATTAATTTACTGTCAACATAAGATTCCAAATTTAAAATTTCATTTAACATATTACATATAAATATCTTAAAATACATTTATATTTTAAGAAAATATTTTTGTGAAAATATGTCTCTTATATAATTTGACACTTATTACAGGTAGCAACTACGGTATGAGAAGCCATGAAAAGAATTTATTGTGTTTAAGGTTACGTGGGCTATCTTTCTAAGGCAAATGGTGCATTCGTGGAGGGCTTTGTAAGGAACTTGGCTTGTGTTCACTTTGTACATGGTAAAAACCGCGAAAACCATTCAAGCAGCCAACCCGTTCGCCGGGGTCCAACTCTTATTATTCAGCGGTTTTATCCATTCGACCTCAGCTGGGACCTAGTATTTACTAGGAAATAAACCTGAACCCATCAACATACACATCCGCATTTTCATACCACATTTTCTAATGAAGAAACAATAGTTTCCAGTAGTGTTGTTTCCTAAGGCATGACAAAAAAACCACAGCTGAAAAAATTTCAGTCTATTATTATTAAACTTAGCTTCAGACATTCAGAATAATTGTAAATAAAAGTGAAAATTGATATCACTTCCTCGTGCTTCTTAATTTAATATTCGAATATCATTCCTTTTCTCTCCTTTTTATTTATTTTTTTCGCATCTTAAAAAATCACCAGAGCATAAAATTTATTTTCACAGGTCAATTAGCTCTTCCCCTCCCACCATGAATTCTTATCAGTTTCCAAAATAATATCTGACAGTTTTATAGTATTGCTTATTTGCTTTAAGACACATTATGTTTCTTCAAAATACTGTTTTGCATGCACATACATTACTAGCCATTAAAATTGCAACACTGTGAAGGAAAGCAACTATACTTATTGCAAGGTAAAAACTTATTGCACGGAATACTTATTGCACGAAAACAGTATGGCATGTAATTTGTAAGCATTTTGGAGGTTTACACGGGGGCAAAATTAGTAGAAGCAGCTGTCACACCTGGCCACTAAAACGGCCTTTATCCCATTAGGTATGGGATCAAAAGCGACTTGGATGACAGAAATGGGCAAAGCATTCCATGCTGCTTCAAGTCTATGCCACACTTCATCAACCGCATTAGCTGGAGAGGGCTTAAAGGCCAGTCTCTCAGCAACCCATGACCAGATGTTTTCATTGGATGACAGATCAGGAGACCTGCAGGCCAGGGCTGCAATCGAGTACCCTGTGTCAGAACAGGACGTGTAGCATGTGGTCTTGCATTATCTTGTTGAAACATGGCTTTGGAGGCCTCGAAGATAGGGCACAACCAATGGATGTAAAATGTCAGAAATATACCCATCTGGCGTTCAAATTACTGTCGATCGGGACTAGAGATGTGTATGTCATTATCTCAGCGGCTGCCAAAACAGTTACACCAGATGAAGGGCCCCTATGCGTATAACGAATGTAAGCAGACAACATGCCGTTTCCTCGGACACTCCAGAGACATATACGGCCATCAGAATACTGCACGTAGAACCGGAACTCGTTTGAAAAGGTGACATTGGAACACTCTTGTACCCAGCCTTGTCGTTTGGCGCAACAGAGTCGCCATTTCTCTCTATGCTGAATTGTCAAGGGAAGCCGAAGTAATGTTCACCCTGCTGATAGTCTACTCTGCTGCACCTTACGAGCTGATACTGGGCGTGCTGCAAAAATACCCGTTTCCTGACTAATGTTCCGTGATGTGGTCGTACGGTTTTGCAGGGCTGACTTCACAATATGTCTGTACTCTCTGGCGTTAGCGTTGAGATTCTGCGTGCAGTTCAGTAGGACCATTGTTTCCATGTTCACATGACAGTGTTGGATATCAGCCAGTGCCACCGACGATATCACGGAACAATAATCTACACTTTCGACACTTTCAATAGGGAACAATCCTGCCTCTATCGAATTTCGAAACTTGCTGGCAAGCATTTTCTCTTCTTATTCGAGGCATAACACGATATTCTGAGAAAACTCCAATCTTACAAAGCACTTTCCGAATAAGAAATCCACTGCATAACCTTTCTTTTATGTGGTGTTTCAGATGTCGTTTCTCCCTCCAGCGTCGTCTAAATGGTCTGAAATACTAATCACTTGCATATCCCAACTTCTTCCTTTCATGTAATTTTGACGTCCGTCAGATCATTCCTTCCTAGTGTTACAATTTTAATGGCCAGCAGTGCATTTTCAATATGGCTGGGAGAATATGACGCCATCTAAAGGCTTTGGATAAAATGTATTTTTCCACACAAATAATATACTTTTGATCTGCAATACTTCTTACACTAGATGACTGCGAATCTTGAAACGCCGACGCACAGTCATTTAAAGGAAAAGCCGCGCTTTCCTCGAGTTCGACGTCTGCACAGTTCACCTAAAGGAATTCACTTGACTAAAGTTTTAGCACTGAACTGAAAGAATGTGATTTGTCCAGTCACCCCTATTCCCCAATATACGGGAAGAATTGACCAGGCCATCAGTTAACCACCTTTAACTACTGTTTGCTGACATCATATTTTTTAATCTGGGTGACGGACAAGCGGTTACAGGCGAAAACCCACGGTTACAGGCGAAAACATCGCGGTAAAGTCAAGGAGAAAACAACGCTAGGCAAAACTATGGTTGCAAAAGCACCTCAAGAAAAAATAAGCAAGGAGTAGACATCGCAGTTTTAAAACAATCGAGGTATAAAACATTGTCATCGAAAATAAAGCGATTCAAAAACATTGCATTTTTAAAACATCTTCTTACAAAATATCCTGATGGAAAAAAATGAAACTTCTATAATTCATTGCATGATGATAACATCGCAGATATATGTATTTGGATTAATACTTTTTTTTTCTTTTCTGAAAAGGCAAGAAGGAAGCAAGCATTTAATAGCTGAAAATAACTAAAAATTTAATGCCATGTATAACAATTAATAGAATTTCAAATTTATGGGCTTAACTATTAAAATTCGTCATTTAAATGATTTTTTCTATAATGTTGTACTGGTAGGTTTTCATGAAACATAGGCTAAATATTTAAAAAAGGGAAGATGATTAATAATACAATTTTATAAAAGAGATTAAATAAGGAATGACTTTTAATACCTAAATATATAAATTTAAAATTCGATTAACTGTTAAAAGTAGTATTAATGTTTTACTCATTTTCATATTTTAAAAGCTTAAATTTCCTTCTTTTAGCGAAAAAAACTATTAATTAATCAAAAAGTAGAGTAGTAAATATAGAGGTAAAATATTTCTTATTCCTACTTGTGCTCACCAATCATTATGCGAATATACATTTGAAGCCTGAAAAATATATTGTCTGTGTACGACGATGTTTTAAAACTGCGATATCTTTAAACCTTTTAATTTCAACGACGATATGGTTTTCGAAGAACACTGCTTCCAGTTAGCAGTATAGTTGAGTGGACTCATCGTAACTTGCAGATCAAGTGTTCCTAGATGATTTTGACTTCTTATGACCCTTTTAAGATTATTTTTAACTCTGACTTATAAATATGTATTAATATGCAGAATTCGATAAGAAGAAGATAATGTGTTCTATCTCTCATTGTCTTAAGTTATCGTACTTTGAATTATCCATAGAGAATCCGATTCACTTTCAAGGACTTGGATATTGATCCTTCAGATTTTTGTCACCAAGATAGTCTCACAGTGGCAATCGAATTTGGTACACAAATACCCATAGGACTTTTTTGTGGCTCTGAAATCCCGAGACCATTGATCTTGGAAGAAGGATCTGAGTTGGTGCAATTGACTTTTATGAGTGATTATATGGGATCTGGAAGAGGATTCCATATCTACTACGAAGCTTCACCTTTCTTAGGTAAGAAAATTTAGTGTTATTAACGTTTTTAGTAAAAATAATGAATCATTCAGCAATGTAGCAGAATACTGAAATACCTGTTTAATAGAATCATCAAGTATAAATTTGAAGCTCAATATAGTAAGTAAACAAATGAAAACTTCAGGGTAAAAATTAGCTCAAATAGCCATGAACTTATTCCAGATCATAATATCATTGAATTTCTTCATTTGTCAACCATTCGATCGCATACACTCATAAGATTCACGAAGGAGTTCTCCAAGCGAAGCGACGAGCCATCTTCTTGCCACTGCAGGTCACGTCATAAAAGGGAACGTTTGAGATGGGCACGTCCACATTTCCACTGGACGGGATCAATGGACTGGCTGATCAATGCGGGCTGTTCTCTTTACGGATGAATATGACTTTAGCCTCCAAAGCAATAGTAGACGAACTACAGAAAAAGCGTGATGTACCCTTGAATAAGGGATATGTGCAATCAGAATAAAGAATTAATGGATCGTATCAATTAAGTTCAATTTGGCAATAAATTTTTAAATAACTTTGTTTCATATTTTATATTTTGCATATATTTATTTTGCATATATTTATACTTTGTTTCATATTTTATATTTTGCATATAAACATATTTGATTTCCTTACTATATCTTACGTATATATAAGCAAACCGTTATATTAATTATGTATAGCTACATATATAATAAGTACATACACTTTAAGAAGTAAATTTGGTAGATGCAACGATTCAACGTTAATGAAGAATTTCAACTTTTCTGACTACATTAAATTTGTTACTGAAAAAAAAAAAAAAAAAAAAAAAAATACACTTCAAAAAAAATTAATTGATAAGTAATTCTTGAACTTCAAACGAACAATTTATCTGTTGCTGTATAAGGATCATTTATAAACTCGAATAGTTTAAAAAATTAATATTAAAATATCAGATATGTTTATGTTCATAGTGTTGAATGATCCGCTCCGGAACTGATTCAAAAAACCGATTCACTTTAACGAGCGAAATCACTTCCATTCCAGAAAATGAAGTTTTAGCTCTTTTATAGTTTGCGGACAGCTCTTGTCGAAAGCGTGCCAAGAGTATAGATCTGCTATTCGTTCGCGAACTGATTCCCGTTACTGAGCGAACGAGCGAATGATTTGCAAAACAAAGAACAGAGCTCTTGTTAGAAGCGTGCCAAGAAAGCTCGATTCATATTTTAGGGAACAAAAGAATGTTTATCCTCCCATATTAAAAGTGGGTTTAATATATACCATTTCCCAACTTACCGAAATTTTTTATTCTGAAATTTTATTGTTAGCTCTGTGTAGAAACGAGATTTTAAGAATTGCAGTTAAAAGAATCAGGGAGTAGGTATTTGACTGATTCGATTCTTCCAATCCGATTGCTCTTTGGATTCTTTTCGATCTTCTCCTCCAACCTCGCTAATTGTTCCCGATCCAACTCTTCGGTCAATTCTTTTTGCTCTTCATCCTATCCTCGCTAACCGCTCTTGATTCACCCTCGTTCCGGATCTTTTTCATCAAGGTTATTGCTAGTGAGCGGTGAGTCATAAGAGAGCGATTTTGCCAATCTGTATTACTTTTGCTGTCAAAATCTGTGATACTTCCCTGGTACTAATCTTACCAGAATTAAGCTTTCACTGAAAAAAAAAAAAAAAAAAAATTATCAAATTGTTGATGGTCTTCGAAGTATTTCACATTCTTTCACATCTTGCAGAGATATGCCCACCTGAACACATTGTGTGTCGGAACAGAAAATGTGTGCCTGAAAGTAAGCAATGTGATGGCGAGGATGACTGTGAAGATGGAACAGACGAGGAGGAATGTGGTAAGTGATTGCAAAATGTTAATACTCAGCGATTTAAATAATTGTAAGCAAAATTTCGTTTGTTATTTGTATTCATTATGTCACATATTCGCAATGTAAGGAGTTCAAAGACATTTTGCAACTTCAACGTTTTTAACCTCTTTCTCAAAGTGGAAGTTTATTGAAATTTAGAATAGAAAATTTAACAATTTAGGAACATGGAAATTTAGGACATGGAACATTTTAACATGGAAATTTAGGAACTAGCAAATTACCGTTGAGGAGATATATTGATAACAACCGAGTTTTCCTGTAGAATGAGTAGATACAATTGAAATAAATTTACCGTTTTTATTTAAATTTTGATTTATAGAGAAATATCGGTTTACCAGAACAATTTTGAATTAACTATCGTCACTCGAAATGCTTGTAAACTGAAACTATTTCTCGAATATGAATTTATATAAAATGGGTCAATTCATGCCTGTCCCACAAGTGGTTGATTATATAAATGTATGCATCAGTATTCTGCCCACAATGTCATAACATTAAAATTGTTAAATCTAAGGCGATAAAAAATCAGATAAAACAATAAAATTCAATTTAATTTCGCAGTACAACGAGGATGATTTGAAGTGGAGAGTTATGAAGAAGAGATGTCGTTTAGATACTGAATCCTCTTCCACAGCAACTGTCTTTCAGGGGTTTCTTTTTCTCCTTTTTTGTCTGTTAAAAGACAAAGAAGCTCAAGTTCTGCTTGAGGCTTAGTGGGCTTGTGTCTCACTCGTTCTTCCGCATTTCATGAATTATACTTAATTTTTTGGACCACGAAAAATTTCGAGTATCATATTTCAATGAAAATAACTATTTTGACTGCTCTTGAACCCATTTGAACTTGACAAGCTAGTTTAGCTTGACATCTATTACGTACGAACAGAAGAAAGGACACTTTTTTTCAAAAAGGATTGTAGATTGAATTTAAAACGGATTCAGAAGAGTTTTTCCCCCCTCGTGATGTACGTACAGACATCCGTACCGTTTGTATCTCGCGTAACTTGGAAACGATTTTCCGTAGAATGTTGAAGTTTTATATGTGGGACTGCACAACAAGCAGAAGATGTTTTGTATGTGAATTTAAGGATGTAAACAAGAACTTTTGTGTGTGGGATTGCACAAGAGAGGTGCACAACATGTACTTGTGCAACTCTTTTTTGTTGCAATCGGCAGCACCAAACGTATATATATAAATGAAATAGAAATTGAAAAGCTAACAAGTAATGAGTTGTAAGACCTATTTGGTCTTAAAAATTTTTTGCGCAAAATGCTGCAAAAATATGAAATAATAGGAAGAAATGTTGTAGTGAGCTCGCTAAAAGTTACCAGGAGCTGTGGCTCCAAGAAAATAGTTCAACGCAGTATTTTTACCCTCTCATTCAGACGACTCGTTGAGCTCTGTTTACATATGTTTGTAAATTGTGAAATTTTTGCTTTAAAAGTGATTGAATTACGTTGTTATTACGTTCCGCTAGGATTTCTATGCCTTTAATTAATCTGCACTCAGTAGTTGTAGAATTATCAACGATTTAAAAGTTTAACCGACGTTAGGCCAACTAGGTCACCATTTGTTTACGTTTGAAACTTTTAGTAGAATAGTGAATTAAATCAGTTTGTGCACCAACTTATGAGTTTTTTGGCCCAGTTTGACCAAAACTTAAATTTGAATTGTGTCACTGAAAATGTTCTCTTCCTGTCCGTTGGCCGATTGGCTTATTTCTGTCCACAAACTCTGATTTTAATTTTAATTCTTTTTCTTGTTTCTAACTGTATTTGGTGTTATAGACTTTTCTGTATTTTACAATTTTTAATGAAGATTTTTTGAGTTTTTATATATTTTTGCCTTGCCGCGAAGTGAGAATTGAATTATTTGAATGAGAACTATATCTCTAATGAAATTCGAGGAAATAAGTTTCAATGAAATGCAGCAAAAAAAATGTCAACCAGGCCGTGCAAGGAAGTCACGTGGTGTCCACATCAGCTTTTTTTAATTCTGCTGAAAATACACTATTGCACATACTGATTTTTAAGTCTGCTAAGCTACTATTTTCTCTAAGGTAGTCAGTTTGTTACTGCTTTTATGAAGCATTAAGTGGTCATTTGAACTTACATATATTCTTTGCTTTTCCTCTCTACAGCTTTCTTCGAGAATAAAGATATGAAGACATTGCTAAAAGCTGCGAAAGAATACTCAAATGTATTCAGTGATAAAGAAACTAAAAGTGAGCAGTAGCAGTTGGTATAACATAAGCAAACGTCTCTTATTATAATTTCGGAGCTCAAACAGAATTTTCTTTTTCTGCAGCATTTTGAAATGCTGCATGAAAATACTTCAACATCATTGTAAACGAAGGATCTGTTAGACTTCCGAGATTAAGGGAGATTTTCCCCACGATCTATTAACTGTAGAAACTAGCATAAGAAGAACTTTGTTGCTGTGCAGCCAGACCTTGCTATATATCATGGAAACTGATATAAAGGATTTTTCCTAAATTTCTGTGTCCTCTACTTTATTAGGTCATTTCAACTTTCTTACGACAAGATGGCACAAGAATCGACCATGGAGAAGCAATCAAACTAAATAGGTGTAGACACATTTCCATGCGCAAATTTACCTTGCCCAATTAAGCTTGGGTTTACATCCTTGCTTAACAGGTATAAACGGAGCTGAAAACATTTACGCCTTATATTTGTGACAGTTGTGGTATTTAAGCCATCCTGCGAAAATTTCTTAAAGTACTGCGCATTTACTTGAACTACGCCACTTTCTCTTACTAATTTTTGGTTTCTTTAGGATTTTGTTCTGTGTTAATTTGCTGTTTGCCTATCGCTTAAGCAGTGAATGTATGCCAGACATGGCGTAGATTATTGGTAGTTCTATCCTGCAGGTATAATTATCCATTATCCTTTTAGTTTTTATGATAAAACATTGCAGATTATACCTATATCACATTCCATTTGTATATGATAAAGATACATTCTAAATCAAAGGGCTATGCAATATCTATAAATTAATTTAATGTATATAATGCATTCTCAAAGCGTACATTTAAAATATAAACTATGGTAAATTTTCAATGTATGTTTAAGAAAACGGCCATTTTAAAATAAAGAAAGGCGTTAGAAGTAGGAAGATGTGTGCCATTTACATTTCTCACAAACGGAGACGTATTTGTAATATAAATTTGTAAATTTTTTCTGAAAAATTAGCTTAAGCTCCTTGAAAATGTGCAATAATTTATTTAAACATGATATTGTTTTGTCTAGATATACCTACCGTCGTTAGCAACGAGTGTGGCAACACCCCGATCCAACCAAAGACGGGCTTTTACAGTCCAGATCGAATAGTGGGTGGTGAGGAGGCCATCCCTCATAGCTGGCCCTGGCAGGTCTCTCTCCAAGAAGTTATCGTCGATCCCAGCGCTCACTTTTGTGGTGGAACCCTTATTAACTCACAGTGGGTTCTGACGGCTGCTCACTGTTTCCTAGAGTAAGTTTTCCGTTTCGTGTAGAAAAATGCATATATTTACATTTAAATAACTATCCATAATGTTAATAACTATATATAATGTTAATAATAATAATAACATTATAACTTAATCTCTACATATAATAAAAGAGTCTGTGTGTCTTTCGTTCATGCTGCACGTAAGCTAATAGACCCAGAACTACGAAATTGGGTATATAGTAGGTGCATCTAGACAAGAGCCAGTGCACCTCAAAGCGATTTTTTCAAAATTCGAATCAGATTGCTTTTTATTTTATCTTTTCGAATTTATGGCATCATCAGTTTCATTCTTTTAGAAATGTGGTTTTGGCATCAGTTTTTCATTCAATTGTCTTCTGGACTGCTGACTGTTGGAAAATCAGCACTGTTGCCACTTGAAAAAATTAGGGCGATATTTCTGTGTGATTTTTAAATTTAATGTTTCTCTTGGATACTGGACCTTTGTTGAAGGAAGGCAACGGGAAGTTGGTTAATTTATTTATTAAAATAATAATATTTGCATTAAGGAATATTGCTTATTTCATTGTAATTTTGTTATATGTAATACATTTTTTATTAAGTTGTTCTGCAGAATAAAATTCTGCGTAGTTTTTAAATTTAATGTTTAGTGTTCCCTTCAGGCATTTTTCGGTACATTTAAAAGCCAGACGAAGGCTGGCCGCGTAACTGCTAATTATTAGAATAATTGTTTTTATAAGTGCCGCTGAAAAAGAATGAAAATCCTCCATAGAGCAGCATATCCTCAAGATGCCCTGTTTAACTTGCAACATCTCGAGCTATACTGCGGATATCCTGAAGATTTTAACTCCCCAACTGTGCTGAGGATTTCTTAATCTAGCATCCTGATTGAAAAGGGACGAACTCTTGTTTAGGTAGTTTTGTTTTGAAATGTAGCGATGTTTTGAAGACGTTGATTTTTAGTCTTCAGTATTTTATCATTTAATATCCTGAGGTCATTCGAACTGCATTATTACAAGGTAACTTTATATAATATAAATGCTTATATACTTTTATGTAACATATCGAAGATGTTTAATTTCAGTTTTCTTAGCGATTTGGGTTTACCGAATTTCCTCGAGAATGTCCTGTATATATACTTAGATGTGACATTAGGAAAGGGAAAATGTATTAAAGGGATATTTCGAGATGGCCTGAGGATTTGATAAGTAGGACTGTACATCCTCACAGTATTCCTTGCGCTGTATAACCAGGATATCCTGGCGATAAATTGGGAGGCGGTATTAAGCACTTGAGTGAATATGTTTAGAATGTTAAGGAATGTGTTTGGATGTCTTAAGTGTGTGTTAAGATCCCGTGAGGAAAATCTTGAAGATATTATGAGTAAGATCTTGAGGATATCATGACATCACTTATGGCAAACATGATATCTTGAGGTTGTCATATTTTTTATGACTGACAATCATTTTTGTGTTATAAGGCCTCACATTAATTTGAGTTCAGCTAACGAATTTGTAAAAGAATTTTACCGTTTTTTACGTTATGATAAACATCCTCGATAATAATCTAATTTTACAGTATGTGGGGTTTTAGTTGATCTAGAACTAATAACTAGTTCAATAACCTCCCACAGACGTAAAATGAATTATCGCTATGTCTGAAGTAACTGCAAAGTCTTGAAAAGGTTATGGTTAAAATTAACCTTTTCAATACCTTTTTATTTCAACAGAATTCAAAATATAAATGAATTCTCTTGAACTAACAATATTAGTCCCAAGGCTTGTGGCAAGTAACCTGATGTAGCTTGCACGCTACGTTTACTTCCTGCTAGCTCTTGATAATTGCAAGCATTCAGCTTTGCGTTACATTCGCTGCCGACAAATTTGATTTTGACATCCAGTAGAAATACTAAGACCGCTTCGAGTATTATTTAAACTGTCTAATCTTTGATTACTGTTACATGTTTAGCTTAAATTTGACGTTTATGTTTAGTTACATCACTTCGAGCTGTGGCTGGTACTGTTGGTACTGTTACGAGCGTTCATGTTTTGAAGTCTGTTTAAAGAAAAAGGTTATTTAAACTTTCACATGACTTTGTGTTATTCCAGACACAAAGATAATTCGCTTTACATCTGTTGGAATTATTGAACTAATTACCGGTTCCAAATCAAGTAAAACTCCGAAAATCTATAGCTCTTTAATTTTCCGTTCATTACAATTCTCCCGTCAATTCTTTTCTCCAAATGCTAAAATAATGTTATTTTTCTAACTGTTGGCTGTAGTAATGTTATCTTGTTAGTGATGAAATATCTTATTCTTCATAGCAACGCAGAACCTTCCATGTTTCGGCTTCACTTTGGAGCCCATCATAAATACAATAAGGCTAATGGCGAGCAGATCCGTTATGCCGAGAAGATTATAGGTTTTCCAGATCTGGAGGATGATGAGGTGAGTTCAGAGAGCAATACGATTGGTAGAGGTTACGTTAACTGTTAGCATGAATGTTACGTTAACTGTTAGCAATAAAATGAATATCGCAATAAAGTAATTTACATAATATTTTGATTTTTCGGTATATGCAAAGTTTGTGTCTACGCCGTACATAATGTATTTCTGTAAAGCATAGTTTGCCATCTTTTTTCGAAGCAATGCCCTCTTTATTTTGCTCAGCACCTTCTACACTTGCAACATTGACACATTATACGTCTTTCAAAAATGATTTCGGGGCAATGATTGAAAATGCTTAAAAGCTATTTCTCTGCCGCAATTATATGGGATGGTTCTATATCTCCCGTTTTACTTGACCGAGTGACAAATTGTAACTTGCGTTTTTCATATCTGGAAAGCGCTACTTGGGATATATATCAAATTTATATATAATATTGTTCAAACACAAGTATTTTGACACAAAATCGGAATTTTTCTGAAATAACATACCTATTTTATTTCGATATTTACAATGATCTACGACTGAAATTATGCTTATCTATGAATTTTGTTAAATTTGGGGAAAAACGTACCAAGAAATTCAAAAAATTATCTTGGAGCACTTTTAAGTTTGTACAAAGAATAATTCACTTAGCAAAATTCTTAATTAATAGTAAACTGTTTTCCTTTCCCTTTCGTTGTGCACGAGCAGGAGAAAGGTGCATCGTTCATACTTGCAAATAATTTTAATAAACTCCATAAACCACATTTAAGGTTATTATCGCTTATAACAAATATGCCAAATTTCAAAATGTGCCTGTATACAGGGTGATTCAGAATTCAACATCAATATTTGGCGAGGAGGTAGGGAATAGGAAAAGAAGGAGATTTCACTAGGAAAGTATGGGCGCAGACGAACGCATGGTGGTGTAGAGGGCGCTGTCTGTACACAACTTCCGTTCATAAGCACAGCTGTTTGACGTGTGCAGCCAGTCGTCATTCGACTAGGTGGCTTTACAGAAGTAACATGAACCGGTATACGTGGAATAAACTTGCAGATATGTAAATGCTAGGTATATTCCAGAAGGTCCGGTTGTCCTTGCAACGCCATTGTGAGTCATGCGTTCTAACACATGGTTAGCAGTTCGAGCACCGCTTGTTAAGTCTGTAAAACCGATGCAAAGAAATGTTACATGTAGGATAATAAATGTTTTTTTCCTTACTACTTCCTTTTTATGTGTTCTTTCTATCATTGAACTGGGATCATTTTGCCCTACTACATGGTATATGCTCCCATGCATTCCTATGTGAAATCTCCTTCTTTTCCTATTCCCTACCCCCCCCCCAAATACTGATGATAAATTCTGAATCACCCTGTATAAACTCACGTATATCTTGGGAAATTATGAATTAAAATACTCCATCCTTTAACAGGTGGGCTTAGAAATATGTCTACTTACAGTAAAATTTTTACTACGACAGTAAAAATTTTAAAGATTCATAATCACAAAACGTTTTTCGATAAATTTATAAAAATTACCAAAAAATACAAATTTTAAAAACAAATAAAAAAAACTAGCTGCGACTTTTATTTGGGTTAAATTTCGAACTGTGAAAATTAATTAAAAAAAGAAATGTTAATAAATATATGTCAAATTCACTTAACATTGAGGAGCTAAAATTTTGAGAGATAATTTTTTAAAAAACTACTGGTGCGAGTTTTACAAAATTTCCTGTATACTTTCTTATTCTTTCAGCTGGCAAACAAGGTTGAAATTCTGAAAGATGATATCGCTCTTGTGAAGTTAAATGCACCCGTCAAATTCACAGATACTGTCCAACCAGCATGCTTGCCAAATCTTGGCTGGGAATTGAAACCGGGAACACGTTGCTTTGTGACTGGATGGGTTATCCAAATCAGTCTCGCTAAGATGAATTGAAGATGAATCGCTTAGATAGCGTTTGAAAAGTGGCTTAAAAATAATTATTGCATGTTCTGATAAACAAGCATATTCTGAAAGAAAGGCATTGATCTTTTAAAAAAAAATGACTATGGGATCTATCTAAATCCGTTAAGATTTATTTCCTATAATCAAATCCGATTTAACGCTGAATATTTCCAATTTTTATACCAATTAAGTTGCTAGAACTAGGTGAAACGAAACCTTCCACTTTATAGAAGATGAATATTTCGAAATAGTTCATATATTTTTAGAGCTCTTTTTTTTTCTCTCTAGACGGTGGCAAAAGCAATAAGAATTATTATTACTATTTTATTTGCAACGGTCGGACACATGATAGGAGGCATTCATCAAGAAGGGCCGATTGCATTTTAGTCGTCTTTTATAACCGAGACCATTGCCTTGGCTGCTTTATCAACAATGTTACTTACATAGAACATAGAACTCAAATGCATACTAAAGTCAGTCTCACACAGAAGTCAGCTATCTGTAGCAATCTGTAGCAATCTTGCTTTTAAGCAAGAAGAAAGGAGATGAGGACTTTGGCGAACGCCATTTCCTCCAATCCGTGAGGAGAAGTCAGCTGTTGACCATTATTCTTCCTGCTTGGTATAACGGTTAACGATTAACACTTAGCCTCTGCTAACCATTACATTGTTACGGATTTGGTATTTAAATAGTTAATGTTAGTAGAATTGTAAATAAAATCGTTTTATTCCCCGTGCAGTGCAGCGCGTGAAGAATATTAAAAGAAAGCTAAGCCGGAAAATTAAAAAATACAAAGAGCACGTGCATTTAATATTTAATAAATAAATATCTCTTTTGGATTTCGAGAAAATACTAGAAAATTCTGGCGCATTACATAAGCGGCATAAAAACTTCTCAATTCGTTATTTAGCTAGTTGTTGTTTTAAGAGTTTGTTTAGAAAACTACTCTTGTTGATTGTAGCGAATTCGCGGATTAGCTTTCTCTAACTGTTTTGAATTACGTTCTGTTGAACGTTTGAGTAGTTAAGAGATAACTGCTGTGATATATTGTAATACTGTACGAATATCTAAGGAAATTTAAGCATTTTGTGATAATAATAAAATTTTGTTCATTTTTCATCGGACTTGTGCATTCAATTCATAACGAAATCGTACTCACTCAACAATATAATGAAGGGCTACTTAAAAGAATATTATGCAAATAACTGTAGTTATAAAATGTCATTCCATGTCAATTAAAACCTTGCATATTGCAATGTAGTTTAAGAAGAATATTGCAATATTACTTTCTAAATACGTTTTAGAAAAATATTGCGAAATAAATAATAATAATACTAAATAGTTTGAGAAAAATGTTGTGAAATTACTTTCCACTACCGAATAGCGTAAAATTAAGTTGGTCTAGCTTTATTTTCCACTATTTGGTGAAAACAAGGATCATTACAGATTAAAAGTGTACATTTCGTTTTTGCGTTACATATTGCTGTAAATTTCTTTAAATCTTTGAGTCTATTTAACTGAGATTGCCATTTTGCGAAATGTTATAATGTTCTATATTGTTTTTATAATTTTTTTGTTTATTTGTTATATCTTAGATAATAATTTTATAGTTTTATGTAATTAAATTACTGGCCTCATATTTTGTGTATAAATACCTGTTCTTAAATAGAATTATACGTCTTGTGATTCTGAATCCAGAAACGTTTAAATTGTGAAAATAGCTCATCTAGAGCCCTGGATATAATAAACAGGCTCCTGACTAGACTTAGAGATACTGAATTCTCGCAAACTTGGCGATTTTTTGAAAGTTTTGGGAAAGTGAATTTTCTAAATTCTAGTAGCTTTTCACAAAACTTTACAGCACCATAAATATGGCTTCGATAGTCATCAATCAGTTGCTAGTTTGTTCTGAATGATTTCAAGGAGCCTATGGTCCAAACAATTAACGAAATTGCATTCTAGAGATTATTCTGTGAATGATATCATTTATTTATGGTCTTTTCGATTTGTTAAGGAGAATTTGCTTAATATCTTCATTCTCCTTGATATAGCTATTTAATTTGCTGTGCATTGTTATTAATTACAATAAATTGTCAAGTTCTTCCTGCTCGGGAATGTTTATTTGAAGTGATACTAAGGAGCTCATAGCTAAAAGTATTATAAACAAAAGCTATTTCATTGATTAATACCTATAAAATGCTGGCTATAATTAACTCCAGTTGTGCTTATTTCAAGAAGTTATGTTTATAAACTTAAAAAAAGTCACTATCTTTATAGTTTTTGAATTTTAATAAAACAGCTTGTGCAAGAACTGAGTGCTTCATTTGTCATTTGTAGGTACCGGACATTCGACTGTTCTGAAGCAAACACCGGTAACCATCATTTCCACGAAGAACTGCACCCATGACCCTCGATACCAGATATGCGTCGACCAACCCAAGAGCTCTGCATGTCACGTAAGTTGTTTCAATAATTTACTCAACTCTAAAATATTAAGTACAGTATTGATATTTAAAAGTGAAATTAGAAACCTATATTAATGCTCAAGAATTATTTATCTTTGCTGAGCCTTTCAACCACAACATATAAATTCAGGCAATGGATGGATTCACGAATCACTGATTATTGCTGTTTTCCGTTTCTGTTGTACTTACTTATGCCTAAAGCTAACTTTTTACTTAAAACAAGGCACTGTTTATGAAACTGGAGTTCTGAGGTAAAATTTCTTATAAAGACCGCTCCTTCTCTATTTTTTTTTTCAAACTATGAGTAATTTGTAACCAAAACTTTTGTACCATAACTCTAATTAATAAAAAATATTTCTTCTATGAAATTATTATACCTTTTTTGTAATTTTAATAAAAAATTTTCCCACCATATTAATAAATAACAGATGCCGGTGCTACTTTGGTAGACGGTTGCATGCATTTTCGGAGCGATACGACTTATGGCAAACCCATTGCTTGGCAATTGGTAAGTTATTTATGGTAACCGATACTTTGTTGTCATTTTATTTAAGGAATAATGCATTTTATTATGCATAAATTACGTGTTTTAAATATTATTTATGGCTTCTAAATATTAAAATCAATTTAATTTTGCGTTTTTATTTGAAGTAAAAATTTTATTGTTTATGATATTTTATATAATTTTATGTTGTAGATGATGTAATCAATGACGTCACCTTGCTTTAAAAGTAATTGGTTTTAATATCTATAAATTTAAACTAATGTTTTAAACATTATTTATGACTGTTAAATATTAAAATACAATTTAATTTTGCATTTTTTAATGGCCCACCAACGGCCGAGCGGTAAAGACGCTGAACACTGGTAGTTCGGTCTGAGGTTCGAATCCCGCGAACGGGCTGGCTGCATGGGCGTTTTTGTGGTTTTCCCCATGTGTAACGTGTATACGAGCCAGTTTCCCTTAGAAAGTCCTCCACGAAAGGCATCCCTCCCTTTAGGCAGATAGCCCTCGTGTGCTTTGCCATAATTAAATACACCAACACCATTTTTTAATGATTTTATTATTTATGATTATTTAAATAATTTTAATTGTATGCGTGATGTAATCAGCTCCGTGATTGGTTACAGAATATTTGTGCATTAACGAGCTGTAATCAGCTCCCTGATTGGTTACTGAATATTTGTGCATTACCGAACCATTTTAAAATTTTATTATTCATCTCTTCGAATTTCTTAGATTTCATAGGGAACTGATATGTCCCTTTCAAAGATTAATGTTGTTATTGGTAAGTACCAAAAATTTATTGGTATCGGAATCGAAAAATTGCCCTTTGAGACCTTATTTCAGCCAACCTAGCTTTCCTAATCAAAGATTTATTTATAAATTGTTACAAGGTTCAGGAGGAAACTTATTTTAAATTTTTGGAGGAAACCTCGCTAATTGCTTCTTCAATGAAGTGCGAGAAATGTGGATCACAGGATGAAGATCGTTAAAAGAGCCGATTCCGAGGACGGCCGTATATGGTATTGTGGTTCACGGTGGAAGAAACAACGGCTGTAACGGTAAAAAAAAAGTTATTAGACATTCCTCCTTTTTTACCGGCAGTAAACTTCTAATTGCTGTCATTATAGCTCTAGTATACGAATCGTTCTTATTTACTTATTTTAAAATATTTGCAATTTAAGGAATCTTATTTTAAAATATTTGAATATTAAGGAATTCTTTCAAACGTTGGTATGATGTTTTTAATTCGATATTCAGTTTACGATATTCAGGTTAATCATATTTAATCCAATTAAACATCGCGTACAATGTTTTTATAGCGGTGTTTTATTCGATTTCATTGATATATGAAAGTAATAATTTAACCTTACTTTAGTATTTTATACTCGTAGTAAATGTATTTATTTACATTTATCCTGCCATCTTAAAAAACAACGTTTTCAACAAAAAATTAATCCATTATTTTTAACAATTTTTTTTTTTTTTTTTTTTTTAAAGTTTCTAATACTTTACTATGGGCGAAATATGTAAAAACGGCGTTTATCAAGATGGCTGACGATTGTTAAAACCAAACCAACAACTGCGCCAAAGAAAATCGCCAAAAATCCGAGCAACCGTCTACCAAAGTAGCACCCAGATGCCTTATATTTACATTAAAATCTGTATTTTTTTTTTTCTTCTTCATTGATATTTTTATAACACAACCACAATATTTCATATTAGTGCCGAGATAAATTTAATTCATTTAATAAACATGTAAATGTACGCATAATGAATATTTTTGTGTTTATTGCTAGTACGGTAACTACTATATTTTAATAATAATGTGGCATTTTAATTGTTTGTCACGTATTCGCTCAGTCCAAAAAGGTTTCCACATTTGATGCGCAAACGATTTGTAAGAAGGAATTTATAACCGTATGAGTTACGCTCGATCAGGCTGTGAAAAAGGCCTGTCGTAGGTATTTTGTTTCGTATAGTTTTAATTTTCCCCTCACCAGTGATGAGACAGAATAAAGTTAAGTTTTCCTGTTTTTTTATTATTATTATTTATTTATTTATTTATTTATTATTTTTTTAATTTTATTGTGCTTTTGCAATTTAGGCAACCTATCAGCGATAACTCGCCTCATAGCTTTCAGGCAAGATTATGGAGTGAAAGTTGAAATTTAAATAATTAGTAGTTAGAGATAGCAACTCAGACGTTATGCTGTTCAACACATAGCACAGTACTCCCTCCATTATTCATTAGACTAATTTCAAGGGCTCTTCCTTTTCTGTATATACGGAAATAATACATTAATTATACGCAATAAATTTTAATTTTGTGTGATTATACACATTTTTAAATTTAAAAATATTGTAAATTTTTATTCGTTTGTAATCTTCACCTATCGATATTGTTTTAGACTCTACTATACTCTAAAGTTTATTACACTCTATACCAGGCGTAGTCAACGCTGCTCCCGCGGGCGCCATGGCGCCCCCGATCGATTTTTAATGCGCCCTCGCTGGACTAATGTAAATGTATGATAGCCAGAGCGATTTACTTACTCTTGTCAAACGACGATATACAGCAAGTACTGTCTGACCACGTATTCCAGATCTATGTAAACATCCGGCTTGGGGCGGAAGTGGGCACATCTATCAGTTATGTAGAGTTATGTAGGGGTGAGTGCAGTAGCCCGGTAGACACTAAATGGCCCCTGACCTTCGATTTCACCCACACCCCTTCGACCTTCGAGAGGGAGAGGGAAAAATACCCGCGGTTTTCGCCCACACACCCCTTCAATTAAACTGACCCATCTTGGCCCTCAGCCAAACTGCTCTCGCTAGCGTGGTTAGAGAGTAGTCAGTTGAGTTTAGGATTGCAGGGATAAATGGAAGGGCTAGCTCATTTCTTTGTTCGACTCCTCGCCGACGCGAGCCTAATGGGGGGACGTAACAGGCAATAATCTGACGTCACTGTGATGCCACCTGTCCTGATTTCCCGCGTTTAAAACAGTAATTTCATTGAGCTGCGAGACGATTTTCTAGAGGTTACATATCCCAAATTAATTTTAGTCAGTTTTTATTTTAAATTCTATATTGTAAAGTATCGTTTACGTAATATGGCTTTTTGCGCTGCAGTAACGTGCCGTAGCACTTACAGAAGTACGAAAGGATGAGATATTTTATTTCATGGGACCAAAGGATCCAAATGAGAATTTGCTTTTGAAGAAAGTATGGATACACAAATGTCAAAGAGAAGATTCTATTAATGTGAAGAGCGGAAAAATTTGCAGCGAACATTTTCTATGCAGTTTTGTTTATGAAGATGATATGAAAAATCGCTTGTTTGGATAGCCACAAAAAGAAACTGTTGGAATGGAATGCTGTGCCGAAAGTAAATTATGATGACAATAATAAATCGAAATTGATGATGACAATAATGAATCAAATTTTAATGATTTTGAAATAAAACTCACAAATGAAAATGTAGATCATCCTGAATGTTTAAGGATAAAGATAAACAAGAATGCATTGATAATTTGAAGAAACAAAAATAATATCCTTAGAAAATTGTATTAAAGTATTGAAAAATAGAGAAAAGAACAATTTTAGAATGTTTGTTCAGCGACAAAGAAGGTGGACGACATCTAGACAGAATTTGGTATCAGAAATTAAAATCTCAAATAGCGAAATTTGGGGGGGGGGGAGCACAAATCGGAGAATTTTGAAAAATGTCTAAAGCTTATTTTTATAAAGACGCAGATTAATGCATTACTGAAAAAGAAGAAAAAAATCAGGTGGACTAGCGAAAATATTTCACGTAGCATCGTTATAAGTGCTCTGTCACCTTAAAGCTATGATTTTTGGAAAGAAAAAAAATTGGAATATAAATACCTAGTATTATCAGATTAAAGAAATGGTGTTTATTTTATTTTTTAGTGTTTTCTAAATTTTAGTGTAGTCCAAGAATTCAAAGTAATGTTCTTACTCTAAAGAAGGAAGGAGGCGAATATTTGTATTCTGTAGAAAAAATATGCGTTCTCAGTTTCGACGAAATGCATATAGATTGAAAACTCTGCTATGACTCTAAACTGGACTAAGTTGGTTTTCTTTTCAAAATGTGCAGTTTGTTTTAATCAGAGGTCTCATTTCGCGCTCTGCCTCAAATTACTGAGAAACCGCGTTTTAGATAGAGGATTTGTTTTAGAAGATGGATCTGTTTTAAATTTTGATATTATTAAAGAGGTTTAAATTTTGATATTATTTGATATTATTAAATAGAGATTGAGAAGAAATCAAATTGTGTCAAAAAAACTCAAATTATTTAATGGTCAAGGGAAACGAGAGACAAAAAGTCTCTCCAGAGAAAACATTATTTTCAAAAAGTACCGCAAAAAGTATACTCTACCCCACAGGAAATCAGAAAGCACCTGACTTCTATGAGTTAATCGATAATATCTTCGGTATTATGTGTATGTGTGTATTTAATTAT